AGGGTTCTCCTCAGGATCTGTGACATCCCCTACCTTTTCTTTCCTTTGGACTCCTGAAATAACTGTTCATGTTTGAGCCACTCCCATTTGCCCTTCTACGTCCTACCTTGAAAACCTGAACCTTGAATTCTTGAAGACTAGAACCATTGATCATTATCGAGAGTTTTCTCAAGTGACTCCCGTCATTTGGGATGTAATTAACTATAGGGGCTTGCCTCTATAGGGAACTTGGAACCCAGGTAAAATAAACCCTATTTAATCTTTGTATTAAATAGGGGAATTTGTCGGTCATATATAAAAGGTTCGCAGACCAAACGGATGTCACAAATCTCTTAGTTTGCAGGATTGGGTCTATCGCTGAGGTCTACACTTATCTCTCGGGAAGGTGTAATATTTGCGGTATCAGGCACGATTATGCAAACTATCAGACTAATGAGATCCATTTGGTCTCATTTTTTAAAAAATTAAAACATACTACTTTTAAAACTCAAACTATATATATCTTTTATACTTAAATTAAATCTCAAAAATTATTTTCATATTTCATATTTTCAAATCTATCAATCTCAAAAAAAAGTTGACCGACACACGCATTACTCAACTACTCCATACATTGTAAGACGAGCTAAGCAGATTTTCCAATGCCCTCTAAACCTCCCATGGTTAAACTTTAAGAATATCAAGGAAATTATCTTCTAAAATTTGAGCAAGGAGCATAATGATCTTTGTAATGTGTCATTTGTTAACTAGAATTATGCAAAAGCTGCAAAAAATTGCATTAGGGAATGTAGATTCTAGCCTGCTCTTAAAAAGCACTCTTATAACGACTATATATATAGGATTTACAAATCTGACCACAAATAGGTAGTAAAAGGAAAATGATGATAATTATCACAAAACTATTCACCAAAAGAACCTTGTTTATTTTATACCTGTCACCAAAGCAAGGGAATGGCGCATCCCACAAGCCACTTGCACAACATGCTTTGATAAAAAGAACAGCACTTCATGAGGAAAGCTGTAGGACTTATTATCTCCATTCCCGAGCTGCCCAAATGAACCATCACCGCACATGAACAGACGACCAGTGTCTGAAAAGAAGAAACCACCAAATAAACCAGAATCAACTTCTCAACATTTTGCAAACTTTAATCCTGCGGTAAATTTACACGAAGGGGCTATTTGGTAACAATTTCAGTAAATCCTGTAAATCCGAATTTACTAAATTTTGCAACCATTGCAATTTAGTAAATCCAAGATTTAAGACAAAACTGAGAGGAATTGAGAAGAAATTGGATTTATTAAATCCATGATTTAAAATTTGCCATTTTTCTTTCTGAGAGAATCAAGTTAAATCCCACTTAAATTCATTACCAGATAGCCTCGTATTCTGCACTGAGATAAGACAAATTTAAAAAAAAAAAAGTTAAGCATCAGCTCGCTAACTGTTTTTAGCTGCGCTTCAAATTTCAAGTTATGCAGCATTTAAGAAACATTGAAGAACAATGTCCAGAATGATAAAGTGTAAAAAAATTTTACTAAAGCCGGTCTGTTTATGCAGAACTGCCTTTTCTACCAAGTTTTTTTGGCGAAATACTCCGTGATATTGCACCAAAAGCTTTCAAGGTATAATTGACTCAGAAATTTGCCACGAGACCATGAGTCAGTGCTTTAATACACTCATATATTAACAGGAATTATAATGTTTGGCACTACTCTAACTCTAAGGTCCCTTTTCTCAAAAAGATGAAAAAATAAATTAGAAATATAATAAGAAATATATCTCAACTTTCCATCCTATAAGTTAGCCAAAACAAGTTCTTATGAGGCTGCTACATAAGGCATGTCCGTCAAAATTAAATAGCAGTGACACATGAATCTATATTAACTCTACAAAGAAGTTGAAAATATTTAAAATATTTGGAAGCAAAAATGTAGAATATCGAAATATCATAAGAAGATATTTCAGTTAAGCTCAAGAGTCTCAGGTTTGTTTATAAGATAACCTGTGACAAATCCAGAGTGATTCCACCCAGCAGAGACATGGCATATAACAAAGCATTCATGAAAATCAACAATTTTTGGCTTTAAATGATTTGTCAGATCTCCATGGCCAAGTTGGCCACGTGTGCCTCTTCCCCATGTCAACGCTCTTCCCAAGGCTCTTCCACAACCTGCAAACATAATTAACAAAAATTTGCATTAAGGGAAATTTACATTTACATACATGCCACACAATTCCTTTGTATTTACATATCTAACACATAAATTTTGATATGTACATATTATGCATGAAAAGGTAAGCTTCACCTTTTAAAAGTTAGTAGTAGTGGTATTTTTTATGTGATATTAAATATTAGAGTGCTATGCATGTAAATATGAAAGGTTAGGTGTTAGTTAGATATGTAACTACATAAGAGTTTTGTGGTATGCATGCAAATGGCACTAAAATTTAATAACTCTGTCCACTTGTTATCAATGAAGCTACCAGCTTGTCCCATGATCACATGAAGGACAAAAAGAAAAGAAAAACTATGGTGATCATGAGGCCATGTTATGAAAACAACAAAATGAGCAAGATTCATGCAAATCACCTCCTGGATCATTAACAACTTTGAAACCCACTTAATTTCTTTCACAAGACCAACTCAAAGATAAAATATAATTTCTTTTTATGATGGATTTACTTAACATGTCTACAATTGAACAATTAATTTCCAAACGCTTTGTTATGATAAACTTGGCTTGTCATTCATAGTGATTCCGCAGTACAAAACTTGGGTTGTCATTGTGGATAAGAAAATTAGTCCACCTTTGAAGAATAATATGACCTCAGCATCTTCATTAAACATGACAAAAGCTTAGTTTAAATGAAATGAAAATTATGAATTAGAGTGTGCCAAAAGGCTGACAGAACAAGAAAGGTAGCATGAAACACTGTAGAGAAGGCTTAAAACTTCTTGAAACATCCAAAAGTACATAAACAACCCACAAGCCACAGATGTTCCAACCATGGAACAAAAGTTCTAATAATGTTTACTAACAAGATTTTCCAACTCGAATCTTCGCTAAAATGGTCAGAACAAGTTTGAAAATGAAAAAAAAAAATTAACATTTATTATTTGGTTTTACAAATATGATTTCAGTTCATGTAAGCGTTTACTTATTCAAAAAGTTGCTAGGAGCATATAGCAAATTATTTTCAAAAACCTCAACTAATTACCCATGCGCCCATGCATGCACACATAAATCTGAATTTGAAAAAAAAAAAGTTGATAAATATATTTTTCTAGTTTTAAAAATATGGCTTTAATTCATGATAGAATTGGCTCAATCAAATAGTCACCAAGCAAGTGATTAGTTGTAAATAGAACTTGCAGTTGCCTATACTAAAAAGGCTGGAGAGACAAAAATCTAAGCTCCCAAAGATTGATCAAATAGGGTTCATGTTAAAGACCAAGATGAAGTCCTCCTCACTAAGGAATAAGAACCTTGATCCCATCCCTAAAATCATCATTTTATCACATTGTCTTTGTCCTAAGCACTTTTCTTCATATTTCTTCAACATCAATTTTATTTACTCTTTTTATTAGACCACCTATAAGTTTATATGCCAAAACTACAAATCATTTATATCTATCCACCCAACTACCTTGCCTTCAATAATTATTACTCACATAGTCCATTTCATACAATGCCATCGCTCAATTTCCTATTTTGGCCACAAACTTATCTTAAAATTCTCATTTTTACTACACACAAATATTGCCTTAGTAGCTTATATATTTCACAAAACTTTTATTCAGATATCATAGCTAGTTTAATAGCAACATTATAAAACAAGAGTCTTCACTATAATCCCTTACCAACGGTGGTGCCAACAAATTTAAGGTGAAATACAAAAGTGGAAATAACCTTTTAGAACTAGTTTGATAGGCCAAATAGTTTTTCACAAGGAAAAGTGCGGCATCAGAATTATGTAAAGCTATTAAATAATTCAATTACACCGTCAGAATGACTAAATTGATCAGATAAACTCATATAACAAAAAACTTTTGCAATTTTTTTTTTTTTTAATACTTGCATCTCTACTTCTGTAGTCAAAAGCAATACCACACAAGCAAGTGATTAGCTGATAATTTTGACAATAAGATGGAACCTAAACATTGACGTTTTCATCCAAAGTACTCCAACAATTGTAGTTGAAATTTTTTATATAAATATAGAAGTGTTGGACCACTCTCCTACCACGGTTTCCAAGTGCAAAAACTGCATTTTTTTATGTTAAGCAATCTATGCATCAATCGAAAACTTAAAAATTATGAGAAAAGAAGCTAGAACAGAAGATTACTGGTTAGAGCGATGGCGTGAGCGCCTCCGCATGCCATCTGAGAGATTCCATGGACCGAGGAGATGCTGCGAAGGGGCTGAGGTACGCACTGGTCCTCAAGGGTTCCGGTGGCGAGCTGACCCTCGGAACCCGCTCCCCAGCTCCACAAACTGACTTCCTCTTCGTCTTCTTCGTCCAACCTTTCCTCCTCAGCTTCTATCTTTGATTCCTTAGTTTTCATGCTCGGCCAAACAAAAACCCTAATAAATCCCAAAGTATGAGATCAGGCAAAGAGGTTTTCGCCCGCGGATTAATTAGGCTTGATTTTCAGTTTTGAGATCACAGTTATTTAAATATATAAAAAAAATTAATTTCAAAATTCATAATAAACTATATCATTTATTTATTTTAATGGGGAAAATTATTATATTATAATTGTTGATTTGAGTGGCTTCATCTTATGGATAGGCTATAAGCCAAACGCTTTTCTAACTAGGAATGACCTAATGAGTATATATCACAACCAATCATGAACAAATTTTCATATATTGTATATGTACATATGCCATGTTAGTGGAGGCCTAGGTTAGTCCCTCCAGATTTTGAATCACCCTTAGCTATGATGGTCGTCTTATGGTGAACCTAACACTTATAAATTAGCAAAAATATGATTTTCACAGTCTTAACTCATCGGTCACATCTGGTCAACCAAATTTCTTTGTTCAACCTAAATCAGATGCAAAGATAGTCTAACCAATAAGAAAGTAAAATAAGCTACTTATGAGTTATGCTTATGTTTTGGTAGTAGTCTTGTGATAAGTGTGTTAATTATATATTAGAAATGATAAGTTATGATATGGTGTGCTTCAATTTTTTTTCATGCAATTATGGTTGAATCCAGTATTATGATAAAATTATTGTTCTTAAATGTGATAATATTATAATGATTATTGTCATATAAGCTATTGATAAGAAAGCCATGTTATATGATTTATTTATATTTTAATGTAAGACTAAACAAGTTGCTACATTTTTTTTAGGTTACTAAATATTGTACCTATGATTTATTCATTGTGGTATTATGTAATACATTACCTATTGCCTAAGGTTCGATGAGGTTAGAATTATTCACTATACATTTGAAATTACAAAGTTGAAATTTTACATTCAACCTAAGTTTAACCTTTCAATTTATGACATTTCATATTCAATTTAAGCTAAGCCCTCAATCCTTATAATGTATGATATCTCATTTTTTAGTCAAGCTTACAAGTTTATTCCCCCCAAATTATAATATTGCATATTAAATTTAAGCTTAGCTCCTCCAATTTATGTATTAAACTAGACCACATAAACATTCATTTACATTGGGACATATATTTTTATTTGACCACATTCAAATATAATCGAATGTGAGACTTTTAACTCACAATTTGTATTTTTCTTTTATTTCTAGTTCGGCATCTTTTTAAGTCCAAATAATTCAATTTTTTATAACATTTGCAAGTTCAAAATCACCATAAATTTCGGCAGCCTCTCGGCGTCGTCCCCATTTAAGGGACTGCATCGGGTGCCTGTTTGCCCAACTATCTATAAGATGCATTGGTCAGTGTCGTGAGATACTACGACCGAAGAGAATCTTCTAACCTACCGGTCTATGGTCTATAAGGCACGAGTAAGTCTTCTATTATCCATTGAATCCACTTTTGCTAGCCAACCGAATGAACACAAATCTTGAAAATCATTTTGATGCTTTTCCCCTAACTGTAGAGTGGATTTCATTTCAATCAATAAAAGAAGCATCCATGCAAGGAAATACAATAATCAAACAAAAGCAGAGTTGCTCACTTCGTGCATCGTTTGTGACACTCTCTCACAACTCAAATAGTAAAAAATCATTGGGGAACATATGAGCTGCGACTGTGATCGTAATATAATGGTGCAATTTAGTGGCAACCACCCAGTTATAGGGCGCTGGTAGTAATAACTATTTTGTGGTATCATTTGACAGCAGAACCATACGACAGAGGACTCAGACCACGTCCTTACTGACATGTAATTATTTTGATTATGAATATATTGATATATTTGATATAACATTTGCTTTTTATGAGCTGAAATCATTTAGGAATTTGTTACCCTTGACAAATTATTGCAGAGGGTGTATAAAATTTGCTTCAAGTCTTTTAAGTGATTTATTTTTAACTTGAATATTTTGATTGATTATTTTGAAAATCTTGATTTAAAATATTGACTCATTTGGTTGAAATTCTTTTTATCAAAACAACCATCATTGGGGATTTAAGTATTTAAACTTTTATATTTGAAGTGGGGGCATTTAGTTTTGCTAGTTTAAGCTTTCATAGGTAGAAGGATTAGATTAGGTGAGTTAGACATGCAAATTTCTATTTTGGATTTAGACGTTTATTTTAAAATTACTAGACTCATTAAGTCCAGTCATTGCAAGGAAGATCAGATTAGTTGGGTGAGACTTATAAACCTATCCTATAGACAGGGCAGTCCGATTAGCTCGCATAACACTTTTAAACCTAGTATTTGAGTATCTAATACATTGGTTGGAGCACACGTGGGTTTAAAGTTTCATGTGTTTGAATATCTTTTATGTTTTAAAAACTTGCATAAATTTTAAGTCATGAATTTAATGTGGCAAATAAACTCAAGTGGAAACTTTTTAAGTCTTAAAAGTTGGTTCTCATTTCAATATACCACATTTGACTTGAGAGATTACAATGAGATTTTGAAATCATTGAGAACTTAAAGTAATTGTAAAAGTATATGATTTTAGGCTTTAAAAAGAGACTGTCTTCTACTCGCTAGCAGGTGTATTGTAAATCCGATGACAAAATTGAATATATAAGTAATAGTTTAATATTTAAGAATGACATTTATATTCTTGAATTTAATTTTAATTTATGCATTCATATTTGAGTCAATTTATCAGCCCCCTACGCTTAGACCTAATCAAGCTTTAGCCCCCAATTATGATATTTCATATGTAAGTCAAATTCAAGCCCCAATTTATAGAATTTGGCAGTCAGGTTTTGCCCCTTAAGTTTAGCTTCAAATAAGGTTAAGCTTCCCAATTCTTTCACATTTTAATCATTTGAAAATTGAAAGAATTTAAATTATTAAAATCATTTGTAAGTCTTTACATTTCAATTTCAAATATTAGTATTATTATTGCTGTTTAAAAATTCAAATAATTTAATTTTTGGCCATTTTAAAAGTTTACAAAGTCCAAATCTTAAATTATTTTACAAGTCCATGGTCATCAAAAATTTCGATAGCCTCCCGATGCCGTCCCCGGTTAGAGGGCTGCAACAGGGTACCTGCCTGCCCAACTGTCTATAAGACGCGCTGGTAAGTGTCGTGAGACAATGCGGCCGGAAGCCGAAAAGGATCTTCTTATCTACCGGTCTATGAGACACAAGTAGGTCTCACTTTCCCTCATTAATGGTTTCGGGTAGGAGCAGCCGAAAGAGAAGAAAGAGGCCTTCAGCGAGAATGAACGGTGGGATGAAGTGTGGCTGCGGGCTGCTCGTCAGAGGATTGCTTCATTTCCTGAATCCAGAACAGTTAACAGTGCCGTTGAGAAATTCTATTCATCAACACGAACCCTGCTCTTCAATCCGCACCACCACTGGTAACATCGTCGGTCGCTGGTGCAGCCTACATAAAGTTGCAGTAGCTTCATCATCGTAAGCCATGGGAAGCAGGAGAAGAGGCCTTTCCTTATCATCATAATTGGTACAGAGACCCAAAATTGCCATCTTTCTTCTCGTTCCACACTTCCTATCCGAAACCATGGAGGCAGATTGTTGACCCTTAAAAGAAATAATTAATTAAATTATAACAATTTTGAACTCCTTCATTCTTTCATGGCACTAACAAGCTCACCTTCTTTTGAGTCTTCAAAATTTAATTAAAAAGGGCAGCAAACCATACCATTCCACTCTCTCCTGACACCTCAAATTTTAGCCTCCAATCTGGCTACAAATTTCGCCTTTACATATCTGGATTGATAAGAACACTTTTAAAAGGTGAAATGCAACTTTTCATGCATGGGTAAGGTGGAATGTATGTAAAAATTGAAGCATACGTTCTAGGTATGTAAATACATTGGAATTAACTGGTATACATGTATATTTCTAATTTTTTTTTTCACGTTATCAGTTTGTTGGCGGCTTGGGTCTCTCATGGCAGCTATCTTTCGGCATATTGGTGCTTCTCTACTTCTATTCCCACTACTTCTTCGCCAGCGGCGCTGCGCACATCGGTGCAATGTTCACCGCTTTCTTGTCAGTAGCGAGCGCGCTCGGAACTCCTCCTCTCTTTGGGGCTATGGTGCTCTCCTTCTTCTCGAATCTCATGGGCGGTCTCACCCATTACGGCATCGGTTCGGCACCGGTGTTCTATGGCGCAAACTATGTCCCTCTCTCCAAATGGTGGGGCTATGGATTCCTCATCTCTGTGGTCAATATCATTATATGGCTTGGAATTGGTGGAGTTTGGTGGAAGACCATCGGTTTATGGTGAGTTTGTCTAATTCAAATTTCCATTTTGATTCAAATTTTGATATCACTGATTGTTCTTTGATTTCCAATGTTAACTCTAGTATCAGATTAATCTTCTTGGGTGACATTTTGTTGTTTAATGTAGTAAGAGTATATGATGTGCATTTTTTAAGGTGCATTTACATACATGCCATTCCATTCTTTTGTATTTACATGTCTAACACCTAAACCTTAACCTTTTTAATCTGAAATAAACCTTTTCTTGCATTGGCATGATAGTGGGTATGGAATTGTGTGATATATATGTATAAATGCTCCAAATGAAATATAAAAATTGATTACAAATAGAGCATTAATCTGCTTATTATATAAATTGAAAATGGATGCCGAATTAGCATGCCATTCAAAATTTTAACATCGCATCCAAAATGTCTATCATCACCAATATTTAAAAAGTAAATTACATCTTTTCATTCATACTTATAGCATAAAGGTGTTAGAAGTTAAATATCAAATTTTGGTTGTTGTGCATGTAAAAGTCTGTTTGGAGCAGCTTATAAGTGCAGACAACATTTTTAAAACGCCGCCTCACTGTTTGGAAAACATGTTTCGGCAGTTTATCCGAAAATGCTGTTGGGTTTTTATACTAAACGCAGACAGCAGGTCGAACCTTGCGGGTCACGTTTCAGAATAAGCTGTTTATCTGGATAAACACCCCAAACACATCCTTATCTCTCTAAAGTATGTAGAATATACCAAAAA